GCAGAGCAAAACAAGAAATTAATTCAGTCCTTCCCATGGGCAGGCAGGTGTTCAGCCATCTCCAGGAGAGCAGGGCCCCATCACAGGTAACAGTTACTTGGGAAGACAAATGCTATCACTCCAAATGTCCCCCTCTTCTTCCCCCTACTCTGTATACTGAGCATGATGTCATATGGTATGGAATATCCCTTTGGTCAGTTGGGGTCATCTGTCCCAGCTGTGTCTCCTCCCAACCTCCCAAGCATTCCCAGTCTCCTCACCAGCATGGCAGTACGAGAAGCAGAAAAGGCCTTGGCTCTGTGTAAGCCCTGCTCAACAGTAACAAAAACATCTCTATATTATCAACCCTGTGTTCAGCACAAATCCAAAACACAGCCCCATACCAGCCACTGTGAAAAAAATTAACTCTACTCCAGCCAAAATTAGCAGAAATCTTAATCTATTACTCATAACTATGGGATTGCTGTTTGTCAGTGGAGTTTTAACAAAATATTTAATTTCAGTAAGCTTTTTTCCCCCCAAGCTTGGTGCATGTTCTGTGACCAGTGTCTCCCTTCATTTAGAAATGCTAATAATGCTGACAGGAGACCTGTCTGAAGGACAGTGGGCATGAGCCTTGTGAGCATTTTCTATGCTGATCTCATTGGCCAGAGGACTGTTCCAGGATATAAGAGGACTACTATACCCTTTTCTTTCTGCAATATATAGAACTGAGATCTGAATAGACAGTATTTCATTTTTATACTTTTCCTATTCCAGAATTCAGGATACCAATCACCTCTGACCCATTATCATCCTTGTGCTACGAAACAGATGTCCAGCATATTATGAACAATGGCAGACAGAGAGAAGTCTGGCTTATCTTCCCTTTAGTAACCTCAAAATGATAACATAAAAAAGACGCCTTCTGTTCAGAATTCACATGCAACTTCCATTAGTCCCACAAAGTTGTACTTCTATTTTATAAGAATTTCTCATGTGTTATTGTTATTAAAGAGCAGAAACACGGTAATTTAAGTTACTCCTTGCTTTCATTTTCAATGACAAAAATAGTAGAGAGGGAGAAGGCACTTGTTTCAATAAAATAGCTTCTGAAATAGAAAAATTCACACCTTTTATGCTGGAATAAGAGCAGCAGACCTATAGAAAGAATAAGGTTCTGCATATCTGTTGTAATTGCACAGAAGAGGAGCTGCCAATAGCATGCACTGCTTGGCCATTTAAGGAACTCTGATAACTGTCCACTTAAATGCAACATATTTCCCTTGGGAAACAGAAAAGAGGTTTTATTGTGCTCTGGTTTTCCCTCTTTCAGTAGCTTTTGAAAATTATGTATGCAATGGGTATTTTCAGTTTAATCATATTTTAGAATTTCTAACTATTACTTAAAACTCAAATTCAGTGTAATCAGCCCATCTGTTAGCAATGGTTATAAAATTATGTTGAAGATTAAAAATCTGATGCAGTGTCAATATGTCCTAGCATAATTAAGCTTGTTTTATGATGAATGACTAGGATATGGCTTTTGCCTATTTGAGCAGCTTTAAAATGGTGAACCTTTTGCAGGCTTAATGTATAAAGTGTGAAGGTATGTATAGAACAACAAAAAAAATTGTAAAAACTCAGACCCTGTATTCATAGATGTGGTATTTTTACAGGCCTTTGGAAATGTCAGCAGAGTAATTCCATGTCACAACCAACTTAACTGCATCTTTCTGTCCATCAAACACCACCTTGAATCTACCCTCCTCCTTGTAGAATGACACCAAAACAGGCATTAAAAATGCAAGCTTAAATTTCTTATTTGTTTTAGAAAGGCCCAGCATGACCTGCATAGGCACTGGTGGAAAAATTAGAACAGCATTCACTTACATGAATTGAGGGTATTGCTAAAAATACTTACTCTGTTCTTCAGTACTTGAAGCATTGCAACATTAACATTTTAAGCATTTTAATTCTGGCATTACTGTGAAACAGCTATATATAATCATCTCTATTGGAAAACTATTCTTTATGTGGACACTTTTTATCCCTTTGTAACATGTCCTTGGGGGGCTAAGGGAAATCCATTTTGCAAAAATAAAACTACATAAGCCCTTTATATGGTCTGTGTGCTAAACTTCCTGCAAAGTCTTCCTCCCCTACAAACTCTGCCTGCAGATGAAGTGTTTTAACCTTGCCCTCTTAATTTATTCTACATTCTAATTTTCAATAAACAGATGCCGCCTCTTTTCGCGCTTGTTTCCACATTGTTCCACATTCTGCCTGTGTTGTTTCTGCATGTGTGAATATTCAATTATCTCTTTCTCCATGATTCTGCAACTGATGTACTAAGTGTCTGTACAGGTCTGGGGGAGGGTAACTGGGGAAGGTGAAACCTAAAGGAAAAAGAGTTACAGAAGTTTCAGCTATTCTGAGAGTCAGGTACTTTGCCCAAAAGCTGGTAAATTAAGAAGAAAGTCATAAGCCACAATTAGAAAGGCAAGGATTACAAAACCATTAGTGCACAGAAACAGAATTGCTGCACACTGGCTCATAACATGTGAGTGTGTCTTTGGTCAGCACTTGGGTGTGAAATGCTCAAGAGACACTAAAGGGGCAGAAGATGCTGTTGGTGCTGCTGCTTGTGGAAACTGGGTATTTTTTAGATGAAAAGCACAAAGCAGCTGATGTCTTTGTGGTTATTTATAGCTAAGAAGAGCTGTTAACACATTTTAGGACTCAAAGGTTAAGTATGCTATATAAAGGATTGAATATTACTCATTATGGGAGTGGCCCAAAAGAGGAGATTGGGGAACAGCTCTTCAGTACAGCTCTCAGGACCTTGTGGCCCAAAAGTGTTAGCTGCAAATTTAAGTAGCTGTAATGTGTAAATCTAAGGACTTCGGGGCATGGAATTACACTGTCTTCCAAACTCAGCAGTCAGTAACTGCTACTGCATTACTGACTTGTAAGGACACCTTCCCTGAAGCACTGTGAGTTCTCACTGGTTGCAAACTGCCCCATTACCTTGCACACTCCCAGCTGGATGAAAGACTTGTGTTGGCATCAGCTCTCAGACTGTGCTGATCAGACTCTCGGGTAACAGAAGTTACCCGAGAATATTTCCAAGCATGGAAATATTCTGGACAGCTTTAAGGCTTTGTGCTAAACTGCATGTCAGAGGTATGTACCAAAACTGGTAGGCTGGGTAGGGACAAAGGTTGGGTTCAGAGTTGTATGTTTGCCAAAAATGGCACAAAATTTGGAGTCAGAGCTGGAGCTCACACACAAGAACCTGCAACTGTGGCAGTTTCAGAAGCCTGAGACGCTCAGTGGAAAGACGGCAAAATGAGGACATGGTGATTGAGAACCTTCAGCTCACTGGGCAGCCTTTGCTGCCTGGAGTCCTGCACAGCGGCAGGTGGCAGGTGAAGCCATCTTGTTCTCCCACCCCAGCTCCTCCCCAGCTGAGACCCCTCAGCCACAGTAGGATGCTCTCTGTCTGCTCTTGCATCCACACCGTTCTTTTCTTACCTGGCAATAACTAACCAGGTTTTGCTCAGCTGCCAAGGGCTATGTGGCATTTTCTGACTTAAGATGCAGTAAAGCATCCCCATCTGTCCTGTAGGTCCTGCAACAAAAGCAAAAGGACACAGATAGGAAAGTATGGCACAAACACTTAGAGGCTAAGAGGGACTTGTCAGTAATCAGCGGAGCCGGATGATTAAGAGCCAGAGCAGAATCCTGACACTAATAAGAGCATATGTGTTGTCCTGAGGCTCTGTGGCAGAGGTACCCCTAACTAATATAATGCAATTGCACAGCTGTTTAAAACTGCTATTCACAGTACAGACAATTGGTGATAACAAGCGGAGCAGTAAAAGCGTCTAAAGGGCAGAACAAACATGATAAATAACTTTCTTGCCTTTCAGACCTCGAACCAAGAGGCACATGCTGCTTTGCATAAGGAAACTGCTTTCTGTCACCGCTCAGTCAGCCAGATCCATTGTAATCCCCTCCCCTTGTTCTCCAGGAGCAGCAGTTTAGAAATTATTCCATAGCTGGAGTTGCGGTAAGCTATGAGGCCTAGAAGTAAAAGCCTCCAAACTAAGTTGAGGCATACAAATTCATACTTTGCACTATTGCCAGAAGTGCACTGGGCTTTACAAAGGCTGAGAAATTAATCCTCCCACCACCTACAAAATAGGAAGTATATGTCAGTTCTGCCCCCAGAGCAAAAGCTGATCACCTACCTGGTGTGATACCTCCAGGATGAGGCTCAAAGCTCCTGCATACACGTTTTGATTATTTTAGCCACCCTCTTCTTGAGAATGAGATGTAATATGTTTGTATCCCTGAAAACTACACATAAGTCAAAGTTCGAATACTTGCAGGCCTTGGGCCCTGCAACCCACACAGGAAAACAATTTCTAAATTGTAAATGGCCTGTTAAGAGAGCTGACCCTTGCATGCAGATTTTCAGGAGATCAAACAAATTAAACCAAGAAACTAAAATATATCTTGATGTACAGCCTATACAGCTTTCAAGCAGTATAGAGAAAAGTACTGCCTGGATGTAGGCTTGCTTGGTGCACAGAGGGAGGCAATGTTAGCAACTCAAGTTAGTGCACCAGGCAAAGACAGTGCAGCTGCACCTCTTCTCTAGGCAATGAGAGTGAGAAAGCTTAGCAAAAAAACCCCATAAAACATTCTAACCTGATAAGTACTGGAAAAGAAAAGGTGATGTTCCATGAGTACACTGCCCAGCAGGAGACTGAAATGGTGATAAAGTTACTTCCCTGTAACCAGACACTTAAAAGATGCATTTGATTTGAAAACACTGCTCCCTGGACAAAGTCAAACCTGTTCCTGTCCAGCAGGCGTGGGCTACTGCCACAGCATATTCTGCAGGTGGCATTTGCAGGAGCATCAGTAGGAATCTGACAGGTCTGCTCAGACTGCAGTGGCAGGGAGCTGATCAGTAGGTAAAGCAGAGAAGTGCAGACTACCCATAAATCAGAAATAGAGGAAGATTTAATAACATGCTTGGTTAATATTTACAAACATTGAAAATTTTGTTAGCTATGTAAATAAAACACAGAAATAAGAGGGGCTGCAGTAGCCCAGCAAAGCCAAAATATATCAGGTTAGAGTATTTGTTGTGAGCTGGCATATGCCTGGAGAATGGAATGGAGACACACTATATAAACGGAAAGAATAAATAAATATTGACATTGTTCTACACCTGTTTAGCCTCTGGAGACCAGTGATTTGTGGGACCATATGTTGGACAAATGAGACTGTTCACTGATAATTGTAAATGTGGTGACCCCTTGCAAACTGGATATTAAAAATATTAAGTAAATGGCACATTTTAATTATACAGTAAAGGGGCTGATCTCCACCATTAAAAGACTGCAGCTGTCAGGAAGAATTGATCATATGACAGAAGGTAACATTTATTTGATAGTAGACCTTGGTAAATGACATCCCAAACGATATTTAGATTCTCAGACAAAAAAATTCAGTTCAGACTTGAGTTTAACCATGAGGCATCAGTTTCTTTCTCTTTCAGCTGAGAAAATTTTTATCTGTTCCCCATATCCTATAGGGCTTGTTTGCTTTTTCGCTTTGTTTTAAACTGTTTTGAAGTATTTAAATTTAAAATGAAGTATTATTAAATGAGAAATTGTAAACGACAGAGTTCGGAATTGGAAGTCAACACATTTGTTATTCTTTTTACCAAAGGTATCGAGTAAGTTGCATAATTACCAGAGTAATCATCTTTACCAGATATCATATTTATCAACATAAACAGAGCTTTCTATCATCTTTGAAAGTGCCATTGGTGAACAACTGAACATAAAGACCCGAAAAAAGAGCATCCCAGAAGAAGCTGAGAGCATCCACAATGCCTTACAAAGTTGCATAAGGAAATGAAGTAGACACATAGCAAGTAGTCACCAGCAAAAATGCCAAACACTCTCATGTATGTGCTTCTACATCTGAGGCAGAGGAGAGAAACTGCAGACAGTTTTTGTAGCGTCCTTCTTGCTTGTTGTGATCTGACCTTAAGACAAATGTGTGATGGTAAAGCAGCAGTCTGTGTGGATTGATTCTTCTCATTGACCCAGAGAAACCCTTCTATACACAGGGTTTGATGCTCTCCCCCTCCACTTCTGATTTTGTGAAGCGCAAGGAGTGTCTCACATTGTGCCAATCCTGTGGTGAGGCACTTGCAAAGTCTGAAGATTGGGGCATGTGAAATATGGAGCTGGAAGAAAGCATGCAGCTATTCCATTGGAAGCGAAGGGGAGCGTAGGCCCATAGAATACCTCTTCCTTCCCCTCCTTGCTAACATCCAGCACCTGCAGGTCAAAGCATGCAAAATATTTTCAGGATCATAAAAGAAGGCTGAAACAAATGTGCTGGCACACACCACATGTATGTACTATTAATCCCAACAGAAAGGTAGTTTCAGATAAGTTTTAGATTGTATTGGTGATCTAGTGATCCACTGGCTGTCTCTATCAACCAAACCAAAACCTGAGTGCTCAGGCACTCAGCAGCAAACAGTGACATTGGATCCTGCTTTCTGGCAGCAGAACGTGCAGCCATGCAAGTGGGTTACTCTGCACAGAAGGGCTCCTGCTGGCACAGAGCAGAAATCATTTGTCAGCTTTGGTGGTATATAAGGAGCACGGCAGTTCCATAGAAGATAGAAATGCCAAATAAATGACTGACTTAAAGAAAGTAAAGGTATATGGGAAAAGTGGATTTTTTGTCTTCCAAAGGAGAAAACAACCTCAGTTTTCCTTAATTTGAACATAAAAGGGCTAGTTATGCTGGTTAAAGCCAGGCACTCTGCCAGCAGCTGAGAAGGGGCAGCACACACAGCTCTGCCAAATCACTCATTATATGGCTTTTCCCTTTGATGTGGGAATTGTCAGGCAGGCTGCCAGTTCACAACTAGTTTGGGGATGTGGACAAATGTCCATTTAAGACAGCAAGATCCCAGGATCATTTTTACTCGTCACTAAGCCGCATTTAAACCCAGGTGCAACGCTGTAAAGTACCTGTTGATTATAAATGAGCCCATTGGTGGAGTACAGCCACCACCTCTATACTGCGCTATTACTCCACCTAAAGCACTGTATGTCAGCTAGTGTTAGCAAAGCCAGTCTGAATGACTTTTTCCAACAAATTGTTAGGTATAGTATCCAACAACTTAGTAAAACACAATTATACTATGACCAGAACATGGTTTTAACTGTTTATCTTGCATGATCATCTCTTTACGAACTCATTATAAGACCAGCAGCTCGGCATCCTAAAGTATTCCCTTCTTATGCTAAGCCTTACTTGTAGTCTTATGGGGACAGTTTGGAGGGGAAATCCTAAACCCCCAAAAGTTGGAAACTAATGAAAATGTTCGTTATCAGCAAAAGGGCAGAAACTGAGATGTACAACAAGAGTTTCTGTCTGTAACTGCCCGGCTGGTCACAAAGCGATGGCTGTGATGCAGAACTGCTTCACTCAGGAACATGCAGAAAGATAAGAATTCCTAACTTCTGTACAGGAATACCAGAAAGCCATGGATCTGTAGGTGAGCTGCTCTTATACAAGATGAGAGAGCAGAAGAGTTTGTTGGACAACCTGTTGCCTACAGCAGAGATCAAAAACCTTCCATTGAAGCTTTAAATCAGTCAGTACTAGGGCAGGTTGCAGGCTGACTGAACGTGGTCAACAAACAACTTGTTAACTCTGGCTGCCCTTCAGAAACACGACTTGGAAAGAAAAAAAAATAAATCACAAGACGGGCTGAAAAATTCTCAGCCCATGCCCTGTCATCCATTTCTGCAACCCTTTTTCTTTTGAACCTGATTGTGTAACCTGTGAATATATACACATTATTTTATCCAAACCTTGCCAAAGGAAAGACAACTCAACCCTGGTTTACTGGAATATCTCAGAGGAATTGCATCTATTGGCTCATCTGGAAGTATTTTTAATATCCACAGTATTTCCTCTCCGTGTTTATGCAGGTTCAGTGGCTGCATAAGAAATATCCTTAATCTCTCCACTTCACATATATTTTCCTTTTTTAATAACCTCTGTGCAAAAGTTATCCTTGTGACATTATTGGAAAAGACTTTAAAAGAAGCATAAGTCACTCACCTGGATACATGCCAAAGGCTCATTTGTCCAAATCGAATAGCCACCAACTAAATATATTCTACCATTGTGGACAGCAACTCCAGACTCATTTTGACCTAAAGCAAGGAAGGAAATAGAAACCACTTTTAGTGTTTAATTAACCCTTTAAACACCAAATGTTGGAGTTCTGTAATAGGATGCAAATGCACCTGGCAGTAATTGACTGTTTCAGAATTCACAACATGTTGGAGCGAAGGTGAAGGGTGAGGGCTGTTCCTTGCTCTACACGGGAGCCCCATACAGTGCTGCCCAGAGATGTCCCAGATGAGCAATAATGTGGCAGTGCAGGGACTATCTACTCTTTTGTAAATGACACTGGTTTGCATACACGTGCTTCACAGCCCCCACCTGCCTTGCAGCTACTATCAGACATGAACATCCAAACAGACACAGAGGCTGAGAGTGACGAGGGCCCCTCATGTGCTGCCCACACCTGTTCACCCACACCGTTCCTCCAGGTACAAGTACGGTGAAAATGGCAGAAGCTGCTGTGCAAGTTCATCCCCATAGCAACGGTCTCCTGAACAAGTTTGGAAGTTTTGAAGGATAAATACAGCCTTAGAAAAATCTGCACTACACAATGCAACAGGCACATTTACTGCCAGTTGCACAGACAGAAAGAAAGGCTTAGATGCCTTCTCAAGGTGCAGGTTGTGGAAACAACCCTGCAGGTTAAGGAGAGGCAGCTATCTGTAGTAGGACAGGGGTCAGCTCCAGAATGAGGGTGCCTGTGGTGCCAGGGTTTTGCACTTGCAAATCAGATGACATCCTTCTCAAAGGCTGTCAGTTCCTCCAGATAATAAAATAATTAACTGGTGAGCAAAAGAGAGATAAAAAACTGGTTCTGTTTGACAATGTGTCAAACTTTTTAATCTGTGCCTCTCAGTGTTCATCAAGAACTCTATAAAGGCCTGACTTGGAAACCAAGCAACCCTTTTCCAGATCCCAGAAATTAAGAAACCCTGTGCAATATCTTAAAAGAACAAAGTTGCCACTAGAGCAGTTTTAAACCTACCAGGCAGAAAATGGCTTAAGGTGACTGCTTCATTTGCCAGACATTCATCTCTCTGACACAGCGTTTCTAGTTACCATGAGCTTCTAAGTTAGGCTCCTACAGCCTAATTCCTAGCCTTTTCAGTGGTAGAGCTCAGAAATTATCGCAATGCCAAATAAAAAAGGTTGAAAAGTGAGGTATGCTCAGTTGTAGGACTCCTATAGCAGTCTGAGCTTCAAGTTTGCTGCACAAGAGAATGGCCACAACATTAATGCTGTGCTATCCTGGAAATCCAACCTTTTGTGCAAAGCTACTGTTGGTGCTACTCTAAGAATGTGTCACATGCCTGTCTTGTAGCCTGGCCAGCAGGTCGAGGGAGGTGATTCTGCCCCTTTACTCCACTCTGGTGAGACTCCACCTGGAGTGCTGCATCCAGCTCTGAGGACCTCAGCACAGGAAGGACAACTCACTGTAGGAGTGAGTCCAGAGATGGCCATAAAGATGATCAGAGGGATGGAGCACCTTTCCTACAAGGTAAGGCTGCTCAGCCTGGAAAAGAGAAGGCTTCAGGGTGACCTATTTGTGGCCTTCCAGTACCTGAAGGGAGAGGGCTTTTTACAAGGGCATGTAGTGACAGGACAAGAGGAATAGATTCAAACTGAAAGAGAGTAGGTTGAGATTAGATATTAGGAAAAAATCTACTGTGAGGGTGGTGCGGCACTGGAATAGGATGCACAGAGAAACTGTGGATGCCCATCCCTGGCAGTGTTCAAGGCTGGGTTGGATGGGGTCTGAGCAACCTGGTCTAGTGGGTGGTGTCCCTGCCCATGGCAGGGGGGTGGGAAATAGACGATCTTTAAGGTCCCTTCCAACCCAAACCATTTTATGACTCTATATCTCTCTCAGGGATTCAAGGGGGTAGTACATCTGGGAATTGTATCAGGTGGAGGTGAACTTTGGTGGACTGGATGGCATGGACAGTGAGTTGCAGTGCTTTGCAAGTTCTGACTGTAACAGTTCTTCCTAGAGAAAGTCAAGAAGAACTTTACAGATACTCCAGCTAACTGAGCTGCTTGACTCAGAATTCAAGCAAGGACACCTCCTTTTGGGTATTTGATTAAGAAGATACTGTTTAGAAATAAGTGAGGGTTAATGAATTTGAGTGAAATCTTTGCCCTATAACTCCAGCAGAAAGTACTACAAAAATATGTTATTATGGTAGAGATGCATCAGTCTCTTGTACATTCAGGGAGCTAAATCTATGACTGCAGGCAAGCTTCTGGAGAATCAAAAAAACAGTAGTGGTAATATTATGACAAATTATTTTTTACTGCTTCATTAAATTAAATTTATGTGCACCTTCTTAAAAATTTAGTATACAATGTGCTAACACAAAGGTTTTGTAGACCACTCAGTGCCAGAACTATAATCCAAAATGTCTTGTTGGCTGACGATGGTCCATAAATCAGAAGCAATTGTAGCAAAGTCATGTAGTTCCAAATTCTAAAGGCATCTAAAGGGAAAAGAACTGATGTTTCTCTTCAGTAGTAGCAAGTTCCCCTTTTGGTGTGCAATACTCACCTGTCAACATGTTGAAGTTGCAACGCGTCCACTGGTCAGCATCTATGCTGTAGGAGTCTATGTGCCGGACCAGGATCCGATCATTGTTGTAGTCAAGATCATTCCCACCTAACACATAAAGTTTCCTTTGGACAGCTGCCATGGAGTGATACACTCTCCTCTGCAACATTGGGCTACGGCTTAACCACTTATTCTGGAAAGAGAAAGAGAGAACTTGTCTCAGCACTGCTCAAAGACACACCTGTATTAGTAGTATAATAAACAGTAGCATGTTACTGATGTTCTTCTTACCCTTGGTCAGGAATCACAAGTGCATATATTTGTGTTGTTCACATGTTAGACATGTGTGTTGGTTATAACACTGACTAGACATACTGGACTTTCAACATGTGGTTTACAGTTCTCACATTTAAATTCATTAATTTAATAGTATTTCTTGCTCTGTATTATTTCTGTCTAGATCATCAGGTTTCAAAAGTACTTTTTTCCTTTATAACTCAGTAGCAAATGCTACTTAAGCCAGACTATTAGATGCCTGCTTTGTATACAGTGCTACAATTATCTGTACCAATGAGCTCTGTTATGAGACGAGAGATTCTTCTACGTTTCTTTATTCAGAAGCTTATTTGATCTTATCCTTGGAGAAGGAAGCAACAAGGAAAAATAATTTCCTAAAGAATCTTCTCAAATGATTAATGTATTTGGTTTAATGTTAACCCTTTATTTCTGGGAACTTACAAAGTAACATCCTTTTGCATATTTTTCTTACTCATTAACAATATTCAAGAATTCTACCTGTTATGGGGAGAGGCAAGAAGACATGGAAGATAAGGGATTAAAACACAGTACTTAAACCTAAGAAAACAATCGCTCCTGCTACGCTTACCAAATCAAACAACCTGGCAACAGATGAGATTAGTTTAAGTGGAGGAAGTTAAAATCTGTGAGGAAATTCTTTGTGATGCATGTGCTACCACTTGTGGTAACTCAAGAGCCTCTAAAACTTCTGCCTTTTAACCTCCACAATATATAGCTACACATTTCAATGTGTAGTAGTTGAATATTAGGCATTAATGATTGCATTAGTAGTCCAGTCTCTTAACACCAGACTATAGACACCATCTGCTTTGGAAAGCCTGCCTGCATCCCCTGATTATATCTTTAGCTTCCTCCACTGCAGTGCCTGCCAGGTGAGCCGCAAAGCACTGCAAAGGCAAAGAAACAGAGGGGCCTGGTGGGGTCATTTCTAATAAGCCGGTGTGTGAATACTAATCAGTGGTGGGGAAGCAGAGGTCACCCCAGCCGGCTTGTTGGCAGGTAGCTGTGTGCTCTGTGGCAGATGGCAGGCATTATCGACTCGCCACAAAGGCCTCGCGCAGAAGCAAACGCTGGTGCTGAATGATAGAGTTATTGAGATTCTGTGCGAGATGCAAGCAGATGTGATGGTTTCCAGTACCCACCGTAAACAATATGCCAGCTGAATTTTTAAAAAGAGCTTGTGTGTACAAACATGAAGCAGACCTCATTTGAAGAATGCAGGCACACAATTCCTCTGTAACTCTTTACATGCCAGACCGGTTTTCTCACTGTCAACACGGCACGCTGAAGTAGCCCTGCCACTGGTATTTTGGGGTGCAACTTTCACATCAGCAAGTAAAGAATCTAAGTGTCAGATACACAATAGAGACACAGTATCTAAGTGTGTGTCCCCCTCATAAGCAAAATAAGATTGCTGCCTGTAATTACTACTTGGATTTAGGACAGTCAGCATTTGTACAATCGATGCATAAAACTGCACCTCAAAAAGAAAGAGGCACGTGTGCCATCGCCTGCTTTCTGCTTCAGGCCCCATATGTGCTATGCTTTAAAAAGTCAGTGGGAACAACATAGAAGCATCTCCTGGCACAATTTGGTTCCAAATACAGCAATCAAAGCCCCTATCGTACAATCAGCAAAGTCAAAATCTTCCACATGGGTGTAAATCAGGCTATGCAACTCTGATTGCAAGCTTAGGACTTTTAATTCCTAATACAACCAAGAGGGCATAACCATGCCCTAACCCTCTGAAATGGTTACTGAGCCATGCTAACCTAATCAAAACACATACATAATGTATGAAATAATCCCTAAAAGATATTTTAGGTGCTTGGGTAATGAAATGATGGCACCCTTGCAGGCAGTAGAGTAAGTCACAGCCAGGTAGTACAGTTCTCAAAATATACAGGAAACAAAAAGGATCATATATGCAATTCAAAGCAGAAATGCCAATGACACGGAGCGGTTTTGGGACACTGACTTTAAGTATATGTTGCCCATGGTTGCTGGATTACAAAAAAAAATGAACAAGCAAAATATAATAATAATGGCCAGTCTTCGCGAACGAAGATTTTTTGGGGAAAGGTCTTTTTACCTTTCCAGCCTGCGCAATGGATTTTTTTAGGTGAGACACAGCCTGCGCTGAACTGAGCCCACCCTTTAATCCTAAAGTTCATCTGCCGGGGCCAAGCAAGCTTGGACAATGGCAGTGAGGTCCTTAGGACGTAGGTTTGTTTAGAGTGTCCTTCTCATAGATGGATGGCCTCACAGGGCTAACGAGCTACCATCTGCCCGGGGGACTTGGGATTCGAACCCGTGGTCGCAGCAGTGAGAGTCCTGCATGCTAACCACTAGGCCACCAGGGGTCCCCTACAAGCAAAATAAATAGTGACAAATACAGGGGATTTAAAGCACATTTCTGTATTTAAGACGGTTCTAATGCCTACAGGCTTAAAAAACATAATAAGTCATCAGGGTCTCCATTACTCTGTTAAATTCACACATCAGTACCCAGTGAATTTAAATACCACTAATTCAAATGGTCAGCGCTTTTAGCCTTACAAATCATTGTATGTTTTCGACAGGAGACCTGTTTAAAGCAAAACATTTGAGAAAAAACATACAACACAGATACCCACCTGCTTAGGATCATAGACCATGAGCCTGTTTTGATACTGTGCAGTATTTGTTACTCCTCCTATGAAAGAGTTTATACAAGTTATATTTTTTCATAAAAGCAAAACCAGGACCAAGATCAGGTACACCAAAACAACCAATTCTAGAGGTCATTTGCTGACATAATTACATTAAGTACCACAACTTCTGCTTACATTACATATTTGAAAGAAATCCTATATTTAGTTTGTAGAGTTATCTCCTGGCTTAGTTGTAGACTTAGGTTGGAAGGTTCCTCCATAGTGACAGAAACAGCTCTACCACTTACTTTCCAATAACAGTCAGAAAGCAAAGTATAACGCACCTCAGAAAAGTTCAGAATAGAGTCTGACCCAAGTAGATGCTGCAAACCATTTACCACAACACAGTAAACAGATGTTTAATGCCCAATCATCCTGTTCTCCATTATTTTTAAAAGGCAAATCTCATTGAGTAAACATGGAAAACTTCTTCAGTGTCAAGTCTGTAATCTTACCTATGCAAACATGTTCTTGAGCGTGCTCAAACCTCCTGGGAAAACTGTGCCACTGCAGCACTGCCACAGGTCCCGGTCCCCCTCTCTCACCACCCTGGGCCAATGGGAAGGTGGGACCAGACGTAACACCTGCAAGTTGCACCTCACCTTCATCCTACCAAGAGGTCTGAGCAGAACTAGGGCATGCCACTGGCCACACACCAGAGGGACTCATACTGACAGACAAACTTTTTATATTAGAGTTTTAATGGCATGTGCCAATAGTGGACAAAATCCACAGCAATGAGAAGAAGGAATTTCATCTGTCATTGCATTTGTTGATGCTTCTCTTCTGTTTCAGCCAGGTCAGCAGCACAGTGATTTTCATTCCTGCTGGCTGAGCTATGGCCAAACTGACACCTCAAAAGATCCCAGAAAAAAAACCTGCAGGCCAATTTAGTATATAAGATAAGAAGAGCAGGTCCTTTAATTAGGCTCTTAGGGAAATACACATGATGCACCTCGTGTCCAGGGGGTTCCACAATTTAAGGTATTATCCCAACCAATCCCAGATTTATCTGCCCCCCAGTTCCTCCCAGTTCTTCCCCTCGGCATGCCTCTTCGGGAATTGAGTTAGGGGGTTCTGGGACCCCCTCTTCCTCATCTTCCTCTTCGTCACTGCATGTCCAGTCCTTGGAGTTTCTCCAAAGCTCTGGGTTTTGAAGGATGCTTTGACAATGATGTATCTTGTTGTTCAAGCCAGGGTGCAAATGTTCTTAAACAGAAAGAAGGCCTACCTTGAGGGAAGTCTAAACAAGCTACAGGAATTTAGATAGATAAGAAATGGGGTAATAGGGCTGGGTAAATGTGTAAACTACTGTGATAAAGGGTGAACTAACTACAGCTACTTCTAAAATCTACAAAAAGCTAAAAATCAAGAAAATCCATAGACATCAGTCCCCCTTTTAGAGGTATGGCAAGAACTCCATCTTGTCTAACCTCTACCACCTATACTTAACATTATACCAGTAAGATGACTGACACCTACAACACTAATCATACAATAAGCTATTATGCAGCTACTAATTCCTACTACTCATTCCTGCTGGATGAGCTATAGCTACTCGAACTAAGGCTGCTGGGTTTTTTTTCTTCTATTTCCAAGCTCCATGCTGGGGAATCCTCATTTTGCCAGTGTCCAGCTGCAGCTAGGGCAGCATTTTGGTTCAGAGCCATATCGTGATTTTGAAGCAACTCCCCCACCTCTCACATGTCATTTTAGGCTGTATGTTCGGATGGGTGTGCATTGAAGTTAAACCAGAAGCTCTGTTCCAAATTTGCACCAGCTGTGCTCCACTTCCTAATGGTGGCATAAGGGTGTGAAATAATAACCGGTCTTTTGAATAGCTTTGTTCCATCTTAGTACTGGGAACATTTGGGCCAAAGGACCAGAACAAATCTAGTCCAAAGCAAAAGATGTGAACATGTACATGGAGTAAATACAGAGAACTCAGAACCAAAGTTTAGTGCTGATCTGCTCCTACTGGGTTGAGCTACTTGCTAATATAGAAGTATCCTCTGATTACTCCAAATAATTTGAGTGAGGCTGCGAATTTGATCAGTGGATAGCAGAAACTACAGATCTATCTATTTTAGTCCTCTTCAGCTGCAGTAGCAGAGAGAAATAATGTTGTTACTTGGGTGCATCTCAGCAAGCACGAACCTGTGCTGGTCCTGACACATGGACAATGGCACAAACTCCCAGCTCAGAGACACTTACAGGTTCAGAGAGAGCTAGGATGAGATGCAGTCTTTCCAAACCATTTCCATCACACTGTGCTGCACTATGCCCAACACAGAACCTGTGAAGTGCACACACAAGAACAGGCATTGGAAAGCAATGACTGCTCCTGTGTCTAATCTCACAATCTGTTATTTGTCTCTACACTGTTGTGCAGCCTCCACAGTCCTAGTGGCCATCAGCCACATGCACAAACCCATCTTTTCTAATATCTGTTTTGTAATTTGATTTTCTTTTACATACAGTTATTTTCACTCCCAGCACAATGTTTAAAATGAGATGTCAGATTAGCATTTTGAAAAATAAAAATCATAGTTATTTGGATGATTACGTCCAGAACGTTAAACTACAGGAGACACATCAGAAACACAATACTGGGTCATGTATTTCGATTCCAAAAGGACACCTTAATTTGGGGCGAAAGATGTGAAGGAAGAAGAGAAAGAAGGGTGTTGCTTCCTCGTAAAATAATCAAATAAGCAAAATTATTTGCTTCTCTTCACAAAGAGCCCCTCACATCAAGTACACAGCTTACATCTTTTCCCCTGCAATATTGCTCCTCTCTGGTGTTTTGTCATTACATTCCCTTCACATATCGCTCTTCACTTTTAGATTAATCTGCCAAAATGAGATGCTAAGGATTTGCATACAGATTTGACTACACAAAAATAGATCTGGAATTAATAACAGTCTCTATATGTTTTAATTTCTTCTAGACTGGAGTACCCTTGCCTCCAGCAGTATTCTTGGCTTTGAAAGTCATCAAGCTGATTTGTCTGCTCTTAGGTTATGATGCCACATGCTGCTACACTGTCCCCTGCAATCAAAGTGCTCACAGAGATAGATTCCATGCCTTCCCCTAACAAGTATATTTTATAGATTGGCAGTTTTGATCTCCCCTCCCCAGGGGGATAATCTGCATCTTAACAGGTTTCTATAGATACATCTGTCATTAAATATGCCATCTTATATCTGCATCAATTTTCAAACTCTAGTTCCTCCTAACTTTGAAGTGCTATAGCAGAAGTTTAAAATTTTCTGCCAAAATTCAGATTTAACAAGTCTGCAATGCCCTCTTGAACTACTTTTTTAAAAATACTCCAGGCAGCTGGGAAAGGGCAAAAGAACAGCAATATGTGTCTCAAAACATAGGAAAAGGAGGGAAAAAAAAGTTTAAATGGTACTAAAAATAATACATACTTTCTTAGAAAAAAAATTGTGTAATTCTGAGAGAATTCCTTAAACTTCTCTGTTGTTTTTTCTATGAGAAAAGGAGAGGATAGAAAGAGAGACATCATAACAACACAAAGTATTTAAAAATACAAACTATGCTACTAAATTTGATGTCAAGCAATAGCAGTTAATGTGGTAGTAACCCAAAAGTTAATGAAAGAGAAGAAAAAGTCTGGCTGAGTAAATGACAGAAAATTTACAATTTGGTCAGTGCTTGCTGGGTTTTATAAATGGAGCAATGGTTACACCACTTTGACATGAGCAGCTGGCTTTGAGGACTCCACTTCCTGGGAGGCCTGAAGCACTCTCAGGACAAGTCTGTGTCTTGCTCTTACAGACATGAGCACACCCTCACAGAAAGCCCATCATCCAGCCTGTGGGCTTGCAATGTTTTTACACTGCCACAGTCACTGTTGCTCACTCCCTTGCAGGCCGTATATGTTTTTAAGCCCTCCAGGACCTGTAACTTCCCAGCTCATGCAACAGTGCCCGTCTATATGAGGAATTTGCTGGACGATTCCAAGACACACCTTACCCAGCCCTTTTCCACACATGGGAAACATTTTGGGTTGTTACAGCCCACTCAACCTGTCCACAAACTCCACTGAAAAACACCTTCAAGACACATACTTTCAAAAAGAGAGAAGGGTGGGAGGTAGTAGATTCAACACCATTTTCCCAAATGACAATTTATAATCCACCTTTATAACATGTCCTAGCAAGACCCCCATATGACTTGAGAAATCTAATCCAATCCAAATCACCCGGAAAATCTCACAACTCTCTCGGAAGTCCCCAGTTGCTGCATGAATCCGAGTTCATTGGGAGATGTGTAAAACTACATATTGGCAAAGAGCCCCCATGTGTATTCCTTCCAGCAAATCTAGGGAATATATAGAAATTGACATGACATACACCCCAAGGTGCTCTTCTATTTTAGAATAGAAATCTCCTCTCTGAGGTGTCTGTGTGTTAAACACAAGATAATCCTTCCTCAACATGCAAACCCATTGCCTCTTACTTCAGCCAGCCCAGGTGCAGTGAGGGCAGTTGAGCTGAAGCATATTCTCCCACCCTAAGAAGTGCCCTGGAAGATGCCAACAGCAGCTCTAATTAATGCTGTGCCACTCCAGATGTAATCCAGCTGCAAGCAAGAGGGGCACAAGCCCTACATTTGTTAGCAGACTGCTTTTTTCTTTTTTTTTTAATCATTAAAGCTGGATGTTTACATTCAATCTAAGAAGAGTCAGTGGCATCAAACTTATAATGTCCATGATTGAAAGCTATGAGATTTATTACCTTTATTCAAATACAGCAATAATGAGGTCTGTAAATGTTCCATATACAGACTAAGACTGGGCCACTGAGGCAATTTTTATGTACTTGTTAACCTCCTGCTCCTGGTAAATCCTGTGCCAGCCACACTGTAAAACCTGATTTGGTTAGATTCTGTAAATTCCTATTATTCCAGATCTATTTTTCATAAAAGAATTTTCTAGGCATTACTGAGAAAATATTTTTCTCTTCACAACAGCATACTGATAGTAAGGTAATACTTTCATTCCAAATCATTTGCAAACTCAGAGTAATTCTCCAAGATATGTTATCACCATCATTTCCTCGGTCAAAATCACCACCATTAGGGAGAAAATAACAGTTAAAACCCCAAAAGAATCTTGAATTTTGAAGAAAAATATTTATACCTTATACTAAATACAAAGCAACTGTACAGGGTTGGCTTGTTTACCCCTTCTCCCAAGTTGAGTTTTTATGTGTATGACAAGATGTGATTTTAGCTGACACACTTAAGGTCAGACAACTCGGGCCTCTGCAAAACAACAGCATAACACTTTGCTTTAAACAAGACTTTTCATGTGCTAATCTCTTGAGCACCTGAGGCAGGGGAAGCATCATTATCCCAAGATGCAGGCACAGGAATGGCCCAGAGCTGGAGTGCCTGGCAGAGGTTCCCTGCCCCTTGCTGTCCCCAGGGGCACTCCACCTATACGGGTGGAGGAAGGTTAACGTGTCTGCAAAAGCAGATCTCCAGATTTGCATGTGTGCACCATGGAGGATGCAGGGAAATGGGCATAGTTCAAGTTCTCGCTCTTATGGAAAATACTTCGCCGCTTTTATAGTTAATGATTGTTAGTAATGTTGAACTCCAAAGTGTTTGGTGAATTTTGTTTCTCTTTCACTGAAATACTTCACTTTCACTGAAATACTTCACTTTTCAAGCACGTGGCATGCAATTCGTTTGTGAAATTGGTCATGGCATCAGATGTTAACTTGGGCCTGTAAGATTCATCCCTCTATAAAATTTCCAAACCATCTGCCTGATGCTGCAATGTCAGTACAAAGAACTTATCTTTTGTGTTTTAACCCCAGTCAGCGACTCAGCTGCTCATTCACTCCCCCCCGGGTGGGGTGGGGAGAGAATTGGAAGAGTAAAAGTGATAAAACTCGTGGGTTGGGATAAAGACAGTTTACAGGTAAAGCAAAAGCCACACACGCACATGAGCAAGCAAAACAAGGAATTAATTCGGCCATCCTCAGGAAAGCAGGAATCTATCAAGCAGTAATGGTGACCTGGGAAGACAAAAGCCATTCACTACAAACGTCCTCCCACTTTCTTCTTCTTCCTCCAGCTTCATATGCTGAGCATGATGCCATATGGTATGGAATGTGCCTTTAGTCAGTGGGGGTCCCAGCTGTGGCCCCTCCCAATATCTTGCCCACCCCAGCATCCTTGCTGGTGTGGTGGGGTGAGAAGCTTTGACTCTGTGCAAGCACTGCTCAGCAGTAACAAAAACATGCCTGTGTCATCATGACTGTTTCCAGCACAAATACAAACACAGCCCATATTGGCTGCTATGAGGAAAATTATCCAAGTTAAAACAAGCACATTATTTTGACGAATTCTCATGTATTTTTTTTTTAAAGAAAATAAAATGATGGCTGTGGAAAAAAAATAACTAAAAAACTCCAAACAAACAAACAAAAAACCCCAAAACACCCAAGAAAAAATAGTTATATAACAATATAGAGCCCAGAAAACTCAAGAGCTGAACCCACTTGTGCTGACCAGAGGGTCTGACTAGTTCTAGAGTGCAAAAGGCTCCAAGGCTCCCTCTTTTAACATGCTTCTGTCAGGTTAAAAACCCTAAAGAGGTGGTAGCAGCCTAGAAGCCCCTCTGTCACCTGAAACACCAGCCCCCCATCTCCTATATATGCTTACACTTGTATAGCATTTTGTTTAGCTCATTTCCCTTCCCTGCTGCCTTTGCCATGATTTTATCCTCTATTATTTTTGAATCTTCGTCGTATTTGTCCCAAAGGAGCAGCAAAGTAAAGCTGAAAATGACTCCCAATAATAACAGAAACCCCTTAAGTCTAGTCAGCTTTTGATCAGCAAAGCCTTAAAGAGGGCAAGCAGCTGTAGCAGAGGCACCAAGTAAATGGTCATTGTGCAGGTCATGCCTTGATGACTCTCTCCACAAATACAAGGGCTAGAAACTTATATTATCACTGTTTAATTTATTCACTCACTAAAAAACTGGGCACATTTTCAGGGTTCCCTTGCCAGCTGGTAGTAGCAGACTGACTTTGAGAGCTCTTTGCTGATGACCCATATTTCCCAGAAAAGGCAGCAGGGATACAGCTCAGAAACATCTCTAACTCAGACTAATTTTTTAATTACTTAATTTTAGGTCACATACTTCAAAATTAGGTTCCCTCCTGCATTACTGATTACTTTTATGCTAACATCTTATATTCAATGACGAACAGTGAATGTTTTCAGCAGTGACTATGATACAATAAAACATCTCTTTGTACTATTTCCCCAGCCCTGAATGTACCACAAGCTACATTTTAGTCCTAAGCAATTAATTGAGAAAGCTAGCTACAGTTATTTTATCTCCATCTCCCTTTCATTTTAAAATAACTCTATTCAATACATAGAAACCAGTTTTCAACCTGTGAGTACATAATTCAGATCAATACACTACTGAACTGTAGCATGGTATGCTCTTGTACTTCATAATAACCTGTCGGAATCTAGCAACTCAAAACTTCTAAGCATTTTCTCAAAAACTATCCAAATACAACTGAAAAGCCCTATCTTATTACATTGCCAAAACATTGTTCTTGACTGTGGTTTTACAACAGAAGTTATGTTCGTGGCATTTACAAATATAAACGGAACAATACTGACAAAATATTTTTTGTTGTTTTGCCCAGTTTTAAAGAGTTGATGTAACAGGCTTCCACTTACCTCTTCCCCTGATTCTAAGCTCTATTAGAGGCATATCCTTGAACACAATATCACACTGCATCATTATATAAATGCAGGTAGTATTTAAAACAAACAGGCAGGCATGCATTTCACCTACATAACTAAGTACATGAATTAATCCTCAGCATAATTTCCCCTTTCTTAGCATATTTGGAAAGATTAAATTTAATCTTCAATCAGTCCCACATTTGACTTAAAAATCCTATCAAATGCTATCTTGTGTTTCAGATATTTGGAGTTTTTGAGTTGGTTTGGTTTTTGTTGTTTTGCTTGTTTTCGGCTTTTTTTCAATTAAATTAAGACAAAAATTATTACTTTTTTCATTTACTGGAGGAAAGACCACACTGATGGATTTCTAGTGCACATTCAATGATTTTATATGAATATGTTTACCACAGTTTCCTAAAAAGCTCTGTTCTTCATAAATGGAGACTGACAAATGTAAACAGCAAGATGGGAAAAAAAACCAGTAAGCAAGACACAACAGTAGTAACCTCCATGCATTTGAAGTGCCCATCACAGACATACATCCCTTTTCACTAATAAAATAGGAAAGGTAGTCAAGAAAGAGGATAATGCACTGAACACACCCAGCTGGTACCCTAAAACAGAAACCCTGTTCCTGTACTGTACCTGGATCTCACTTCAGGATTAATACACAGCACAAACTCTACAAGATTCCTTAAAAGATGGTTACTGAAGGAAGCGATGCAAATACCTGCCAGGGATCTCATTGATTTTCTGTGTTTTGTCTTGCTGTTAATTCCAAAGTCGTCGTTCATGATTTTAGTGTATATTAGTAAAAATAGATACCTGCTAAGTCCCCTGCCAATGCTTAGGAATCCATTCCCATGAGGCACTTAATCCATATGGACAAAACTAAAACTGCTAACCTAAACAACGTACTTTGAGAAGCACAGTGAAGGCCTAGGTAGCTAACTTAATCTTCCATTCATACACCATCTTTTCACCAAAGGCATTCCAGACCACATTAAAATCCCCAGAGGGGATACCACAGGGTATCTACAGTGAAGATGCCAATCACTGAACGTTAACCTCAAGGGCTGGCCCCATTTACTCATTAGCTTTCTTAATAAATATTGTAACTATATAACCTTCCATGGAACACTTCTTAGTAAAAGGGGAATATTTTTCCAAGAAATCTTCTGTAGACACTATCGACCGTACTCCAAAATAACTAATCACAGAAGTCATTAGAAAGACTGAGTAAACAATGTCCTCAACCCCCATCAATGTAACATAACAATGTAACATATAACATAAAAACTACATCAGACTCAGTTGCAAATGATACATTAGTTTAGGATTATAAGGCCTATACATTCATCTATCTGTGCCATAAAGCTAAGATTACATCCAGACAGTCCTGTACACTCTTTATAGATAGAGCCATGGATGATTTCTAACAAAGGTCATTTTGGCCAGTTACAATATCCTGATGAGCAAGTGGGTGCAATTCATACATCTGCCTTCAAGTCCTGGAACAATACAAGCCAACAAGCACCTAATTTTCCATTTCAATATCAGGACTAAATGAATCGTAGAATCATAGAATATTCTGAGTTGGAAAGAAACCATAAGGATCATGGAAATCCAAGTCCTGGCCCTGCACAGGACCGGCTCAAAAATCACACCTTGTGCCTTAGAGCGTTGTCCAAACTCTTCTTGAACTCTGTCAGGCTTGGTGCTGTGACCACTTCCCTGGGGAGTCTGTTCCAGTGCCCAATCAGCCTCTGGGTGAAGAACCTTTTCCTAATATCTAACCTAAACCTCCCCTGACACAACTTCTGGCAATTCCCTCGGGACCTGTCACTGTCAGAAGCACCAGATCATACTACAGAAACTGTCTTTTGTTTGTTTGTTTTTAGGAAGCACACAGAATTTATCATCTGAAATTTGTCCAAAAGTGCATTATCATTCCAATTCGCTGTGATGTATGAATGGCAGCCATGAGATAGCACGTATGACATGCAGCTTTGAAACACAGAGAGATACTTAGGAGAAATAAAACATTGTATAGGTACGTTATGCTCCTATACTTCTAATCAGGCTTCAATTCTTTGAAATAGTCACCTCCTATGACAAAAGTTATCACGACATATAAACCATAGAAGATTTATTAGTTTAATTCAAGACAATATTTTGGTATTTTGTTAGTACCTCAAACTGTGTGAAACGTTTTCTACCTGATATCCAAAGAAGACCATCCACCACATATCCCGCATGGCATGAGAGCGATCGATCAAAGGACTGAACAAAGGTCCACTTGTTCTTCTTGGGGCAATAGCGTTCCACTGTAGGTAACACTTGACGCAATTCATTTCTGCCCCCTACGGCGTACAGGTACTCATCCACGGCTCCCAGCACAAAGTGTTCCCGACAGTTCTTCATCGGAGCTATCTCAGCCCAAGAGTTAGTGCGAGGGTCATATCGACAGACTGTTCTCACCGCACACGTGCGCCCTGTGGAGTGCTCTGCCTCTCCACCAGCTACAAAAAGAAAGTCTCCCATGACAGCAACACAGTGGTGGCTTCTCCCTACAGGCATAGGCGCTAGCTCACTCCAGTTAGCAATCCCTGCGATATGAACATTCTCCTGATCTACTGGATTGAAATATCGCAATTCTTTCACTTTACAGACTTCACGTTTTTTCCCACCAATAATGTAGAGAGTGTCTGACTGGAAGCGGGGTTTTGTCCTTGCGGTTTGCCAAACTGGCTGTGCATAGACGCTCTGGTGGTAAGCCAAGGCCTCGTTAATGAGTGCTGTCGCAGTTTCACTTGCTTGGACAAGAGGATGAGTAAGAGCCACAGTATGCAATGTATCCACATCCATAAGGCCAAAGCGGACGTACTGGAGAAGCTCATCCAGGTACTGGTAGCGGCAGTTGTGTTCCAACCACCTTACAGCCAGCTAAAAGTGCAGGGAAGGAAAGGAAAAACAAGACACCAATTATTTGTATACAATTCTGTAAAAATTTGGTCTTTTGAAAACTGCTTGCATTTTTCAAAATACATAGCTGCAAGAGCAGCTATGTATTTGCCTCAGTAGTGGTATCTATCAATCTAAAAAGCAGTTATGAAAGCCTATTGGTCAACACAAAAAGATACCTACTAAAAAGCTACCTATAGTAGTATATACAGTGTATATACAAAAGCATTTTATTGCACTAGCCCCCCTAAAGAATTTCCACAGCATTATCAGCTGACACTACTGCTATGCGAAACTCTCATCATGCAATCTGTGATGCTGTAGGAGACCATACTATCCCCCAATCAAGCTGCTGGAGTGATAATATAAACATAGGGACTATGAGATCACTGGATGCCATAGGTACACCAGAAAGAAATAAGACTAATATTAGAGGATTAGAAAGAAAAACCTTTTCTCCCCTTCATCTTTCAGCCCATTTATGACAAAATACTAAAGGAATATAACACAATACGTGCTGATTCCTCAAATATTTTTTTCTTCTTCCTTTATTTTATTCATAAAGTGGAGAAAGGTGTAAGGGGACCAAAAATTAAGCCAGGGAAGAGAGAAACACAGAAGAGGCTCTGCTAGTTTGTGGCTGACAGAAAGCAGCAGGGAAAACTCTAAAATGTCTCAGGAATTGCAGCTGGCATCAACAGCCAAAATTAGACATACCCTTTAAATCACATAAAGTGTATTGAATCCAACTGGGCCTAAAAAGAGACTAGGAAAGCCCTAAAACATTTCAGTAATTGTTGTATAAGTTATTCTGCAAAACCTCCAGTAAGGAAGATAGCTAAACTTCCTCAGGAAAACCATTCCCATGCTCTAATATCCTCTCAGACAGATTTTCCTCTTACCTCTGCAGGAGCTCTAAACCCTTCAACTAATTGCCCCCATTTTCCACATTTGGGTTTATATTCCAGAGCTCTGGGATCCCAAGAGCAACTCTTGAAATTGATTCATCCATACAGGATGAAAAGCAGTTTGCTACCTTCCTTTTCTCCTCCACCTCAGATGCATTTTAGTATGTATGTTGCAGTTTCCTCTTCACTGTTGCTTGGCTCACAGTTCTCTGTTATTGAAAGGAAACAGCCCTCTTTCTTAATGTTTGCTGTTGAAAACTGGACAAAATCTTCCTCTTAAGGCCATAGTAGTAGTGAAGAGGTTAGAAGAACCTCTTTGATTATAACAATCTATGCCATTCTTGCTTGTACATCATGATGCAAGACTGTTGGTGCACTATGATATTGCTGATTCATGTTTAAGCTTATGACTGAGTACTATTCTTTTTTTTTCTCTTTTTTTTTCTTTTTTTGCCCCTTTTTTTTCTTTTTTTTTCTGCAGAACTTCCACTAAGTGTCATGCTTTCTCTGTCATAACTGAACTCTCTACTGTTTACTTCAGGCCATTGCTCCAGTTTGTCAAGATCATTCTCAATCCTAATTGTATTTTCAAAAGTGCTTGAAGACCATTCCACCTTCTCATTTTCTGAAAACATAAACCCCATATTATTCTTTCATCCAAGTCATTATCAAAGACATTGATTAGTTCTGTGTAAGGACAGACTCCTGTACTTGATACTTCAAATCATTATGACACAGAACTTGTGTAGCAGGTGTTTCTAACTAGCTGCGTGATAAAAAAAAATTTGACTAAAACCTACTGCCCTGTACTGATCATGGGAATGTCACACTAAGGAGCTGAAAATAAAGGTTTCTGTTACTCATGACTTTCATATATGATGTATTAAATTTATTACTGCTTCTGTATTCTGGAAGAGAGGGAAGATGACAAACCAAAACCAGTTGTGGTAGAAATAGCCACTGATGGACTGTAACACACTTCTAAATTTCCTTCAGTGCAAAGGAGCCAAATATACCTCTCATCAACATATGGCAGAGACGGAAACTTCCATGTACAATAGCAGCAAACATCTGTATATTTATCAACAAAATTTATGACACCTTTACTCAGGTTTTGTTTAATCCAGACTTAGAAACCTGGTGCCTACATAGAAACTCCAAAATTCACCATGTCCATACACTAATTATAGTGCCTATGTTTTAGCTGCACTGGCAATAACAAATAGCAACTATAATCAGTATTGGCAAAATAAAGTCAAAGCCATTATAGACTTTATGATGCTGTAAGGAAAGATGTTCCAGCTTCTCTACGGAGATACCAGTAGCACTTGAAATTACAACTGTGTTTAATATGCTAACAAGTAAGCAAGCAAAAAAAAAAAAAAAAAGAAAAAAAGAGACCATCCACAATTTTGAGCTTTAAAATATTTGTATCACTGCTAAATAATTTACAAAAATAAGGAAAGGCTCCTACTCCTTCCGTCATATAGGCAAATTCTGTTTAAACTGCTAGAAGCTTCTTTTCTATTAATTTTAATGTAAGAATGTGTGAGAAAAGGAAGCTACAGCCTTGTGCCTATATCAACTTTAATAAATAATATATTTTGCCATATTCATCTTCTAAACTAAGTAAATGACAAATGTAGACCCTCAGAAGGACAGGATTTTCAAGCCAGATTAATTCTCTTATTCTAATGCCTTAACCCACAGGATTCTTCTTCAAGGTTACATTACACGATATAGCAATAGAGTGCATTCTCAAAACAGCAGAAAAGAGATGGAAAAATATGCTATGGCACAGTTGGAGTGTACATAGAAGTATACCTGCATGTCAGATAGTGATTTCATTGCTCTTCCAACACCTGCTTCCGCTTCCAGTCCAAGTCACACAGCCTCAGAGCTCAGTCCTTCCCTCCCAGCTGTTAATGGTGTACATGCCGCACACATCCCACAGCCGAAGAGGGCACAGAGGCAGTGGAAGTTAAAGCTGAATAAGAAATTTCACTCCTGTTGAAGATAACCCTGCAGGAAGTTGTTACCTAGTCTTTTGGGCTACCAGTTATCCCAGGAAGCAAGAAAGCCCATCACGCCTCTGCCTTGCCTGTTCAGCATCCCCCTGCAATCCTTCTCACGTCACTCTGCAAGGGAACGTGCCAGACCTTCACTTGACATCACAGCAAGTTTTCTAATCAGAAAAGCCAAGCTACTTTATGAGTGCAAAAAACTCGACATACTTATACTTATTAGGCTCAGGTTCACCTGGAAACTACTTTAAGTCACAAAGTCAGTGTCAGGGAAAGTTGCTGTTCACAGAGCTCTAAGAAATCAAACAGTTTTCTAAGTCTGGGCTCTGACAGGGGCCACAGGAACTCCATTAAAGTCATCTTGGTCTGCTCTTTAGCTGACGTATTCATATTGTAGCCCAATGGACTGCAAAGGAAATATGGTACTTTATATCAGCTAAGGTGTCTAATAACTGATATGAAGCCAAAAAGTGACAGTAGTGGAAAAAATTAGGGCATTGGAGTGTTGTCTTTTTGGGAGTTGGTTTGTTTGTTTGTTTTAGCAACAACAAATACAAGGAAACAAATTTTCTAAAGTTTTAAAACAATGAATTCACATTGTCTCATTAAAACAAATGGAAATCTTAATTATAACAACTTCGTGAACATTCCCATTTTAGGAGAAAAGAAAATTTTAAATATGGAAACTGAAGTGGAGAGATGTATTTTCCTGGACTGAGATCAGATATATGCAACACAAATTATCTGATTTGTACGTGGCAATCTGTTGATGATATACCGCGAAGAACCACAAATCTCTTCTTTCAAAACAAATCTCACCTGTTTCTTTAAATAAGCAAAACATTTTGGCCAGAAAAAAAAGTCAATATCTTCGTATCCTTAGCATATCGGACAGTGCTATAGATCTGATCCTATTGATTGATAAGCCAAAAAGAGTCATGAAAGCAACACAGTTATTACAGCAATCACCTTAAAGCACCACCAAGGGAACTTCAAAAAACAAAACTTGGACTTTACTAGTTAGGTCTTTGAAAACCCTGGAAATATATATTTATGTCTAAACTCACACATAATTTTGCTTTTTTTTGGATTTTATCTAACTCAGCAAGCCTCAGGTGTTCCAGACTGGAATCTCCTGTCTCATAACCACATCTCTATTGACAAGGAACAGGGATTTCCAAAGGGTTTCAATCTGGACCTCTAAAGGGTCCTAAGTCCTCCTCTCTCTCTAGAGACTACAAAGGACAAAACCCTTAGGATATTCATTTAAGCATTTTATTTAAGTAAGGTGAATGAAATTGGTCTGTATCACTCATTTAAGAAGAAAAATGTAAGAATTACTGAGGAAAAAAACCCCACAACACAACAAAACACATACACACAATTTTTCAAAGCCTTGAGTTACACACGAATATTTTTAGAAGTTAGTAACCACGCAGCACAGCCTTCAGACTCTCTGCAATTTTATCAATCAGGTACTATCTTTCAGTGGGCAGCACAGAAAACGAATGTCTCAAGCCTAGATGCAGGAAAGCCTTAAAGATAAAAATCTTTTTCTTCTTTTTATTTTGAATTTTAAATATGCATAAAAATAAGACTGTAATGAGCTGCATGTGGAACAATCAAAATTATGAGGTATTTGCATTTCTCGTGCACCTTGAGCCAAACAACTACAAAATTATGCATATGATTCTCTCAATCTGAACACAGTAAATATTAATAATCTCTGAATCAGCAATGAAATGTCTTTTGCCCCTGAACCCTGAAGAGACTTTCCAACTCAAAAAGTTGTAGTACAGTGACTGAGAGACCACATTTACAAAGCACTGAGCTGAGGCATGTGGGTGTAGCCTGTGAAAACAAAGCTGTGCCATCCCCCACCCTCTTTACACAGAGACATTTTAAAATTACCTGTTTGTCAGTTTTACAAATGTGTGTCTACGTAAGCAGCCCCCAGTGCGGCGCTGCATTAGCAAGTAGGCATGCTTTCATTTGCTCATTCTGATTTTACAATTAGAATTAAAACATTTGCTCTGTTCAGGGTGAGCTG